CTATGCTATGCAATTATTAAGGGGTTTCAGGTGGTTGCTTGCCCAAGTGAAAAGTGCCAAATTTATATGATATTCAGATTTCTAAATGTGTAAATAATTTTCTAAATAAGACCTACAAGGCAAAAATAACACTGTGATCATTTAGAAAAGCAATAATATATTTCAAAGAAAAATAACACATCTCTTCTCTACAAGCAGCACAATTTATGATATTCAGATATTAACAATAGCACAATTGTATAGGAAGAGTAATAATATAATGCAGAGGTGGGACTTTCAAGTCACAAGCAAGTCTTCAAGTCATATCCCAAGTCCTCAAAGAGTTAAAGTTAATGAGATAATTAAGTGACTAATTAAATGATGATTGTGCATTAGTGATGAACACCTGCTGTTATTGAGAATTACAGAGGATCAGCTGTTGATGTTTTATTGGTTAAAATGATGTCACCATCATGGAGATCAGTGTTTGATTTAGTTGGACTTTTGACCCTTGACAGTTCGGATAGGTCTCTATTTGCGAAAATGCAGGTGGTGTTGTAAATCATAGGAGTCAATGCTTTTATTTTGAGCAGCTATTAGTTGTTCATTGTGTTTCTCGTCATGAGCTGGCCTGATTACTATCAACATATATCTTTCAAATTGAATGTTTAGGATTTATGTAATTGACTCTGTGCATCATGCAAACAAAGAGCTGCGCTAATAGTTACAATTAATACATTTAAAGTCGACACAATCCACTTGCAAACGTGAAATGCAGTACTAGTTGGACACATACAGACATCAAGAACCAGCATATGAATCTCAACAATGGTGATAATCAACAAAATGTTTCATGCTGCAATGCATGCTGGGTAACACCACAGTAAAATCTCCCATCATGCACTGCAGCATGAAAAATTATCGTCACCACTGTTGAGGATCATATGATAAGTGTTCATGTCTAAAACCCTGAGCTGATAACCTTTTATGGCTTACTCGTTGTTGAAGTTTTATTGTGGTATAAATTATGTGGGACTTTTATTCAAAACAGTGATTGCCGATCATCACGATCTGTAGGTAGAAATAATAGACTAATCTGCTAATTCATAGTTTGATGTAGCAATGCACAAACTCTTGCTGTGAAACGTTATAATTGTTTAGAAGCTAATTTTTCTGTATTGGTAAAAGGGTCAAGAAACTATCTAAAGCAAACCTTGATCTCAATTATGGTAGCATTGTGTGTTTTTTTTAATTTATCAATTGATTTTATCCAAGGCTGTGGCTAAAGTCAGATGTATTTCTTGTGTTTCTCTTTTCTTCAATGATGTTGATTGTTAACAGCAGGTGTTCATTACTAATGCACAATCACCATTTAATTAGTCACTTAATTATCTCATTAACTTTAACTCTTTGAGGACTTGGGATATGACTTAAAGACTTGCTTGTGCCTTGAAAGTCCCACCTCTGATATGATGTTTAATGCTATATAGTTATACTAATGAAATGCATAGTAAATATGAAAAACTGGATGACAAGTAATTTCTTATTTCTAAAAAAACAGAGGTGTTACACAGTAAAATCCTGAGTGTTAAATTAACACTGCTCGGAGCATATATGGTCCCACTCTAAAAGAGTGTTAAAGTAAATGAGATAATTATGTGATTAATTAAGTGCTGATTGAGCATTATTAGTGATGAACAGCTGCTGTTAACAAGCAGAATTACTGAAGAAAAGAGAAACACAAGAGCTACAACTGACTTCAGCCACAGCCTGATGAAATCAACTGAAATAAAAGAAGACATTAAATCTCTCACAATCTCTGCAGAAGATAATTAAACAAATCCACAAACAGCATCACCAGCTTCATGCATTACTAACCAGTTAGGCTTTTTTTCTAGAGTATCTAAAACAGAAGTTCTTTATTGACAATTAAGGTTTAGATTTTTTTCTTTTCAACTTACCGTTTTGGTGAATAGTGTTTGCTTTAGTTGCCTCTTGACCCTTTTTTTTTTTTTGAACCATGTGATTTTCTTTAGCTGTTTTAATAAAGTTTATCAAACAGCTATGTCATGGCTTAGGTTTGTGATTCCAGGTAGAACAGCTATGGTCTCATTTTATATGGATGATCATACTTAATTCCTTGTTGATAATTCTATTAAAAAGACTTTGCAAATTTGTGAAATGTTAACTCTAACTATCGGTGTGAAAATTTATAGAAAAAGACTGAAGTTCCTTTTGGAAAGAACCTAAACTTAAATCAGGATTTATAGATCAGGTAGAATTCATTAAGATTTTAGGGCTTTTGATTGGTAACTATATGGAGAAAATGAATTGGGATCAGAGACTCGATATAATTAAATGGAAAGTAAAACAGTGTGAGAATTGAGACCTTACTTTGAGAGGGAAAGTGTTAGTAATAAATGCCAAAATTTTGGCTTCCCTTACCTTCCTAGCTGTAACCTTGCCGGCACCAGTCAATTTGATAAGATCAGTTAAAAAAGTCTTGTTCTGTTTCCTTTGGGGTTCCAAACATGAAAGAATGAGAAGAGAGATATTGTATAAACCAGTAGCTATGGGTGGGCTAGCAGTTCCAGAAATAAGCATTAAATTGGAATCGATGTTTTTGACTCCTATTCTGAAAGCTTGTCTAAGTGAGAATCAAGAAATCTTGTGGCATTGTTTTGCTAAGCTTTGGGTAGGCCAACAGGTAGCCAATGCTTGAAAGATTAAACGTCCACAAAATAAATCTCATGCTGAAGTTAGACCAAATATATACAAAAGGGTGTTATCTTTCTTAAGAAAAGTTAAAGTGTCAGATATCCCTATAGAGAAAGTCAATAGGGTGATGGTGCAAAATATGTTATACCCTGAATTACAGAAGATATATCCACTGGGGAAACTCATTGAGTCTGATTGTATTCAAGTATGGGAGAATGTAAGCAATGTGTTCTTATTTAATTCACATAAAGACATTGCTTGGCAAGTAGTGCATCAAAGTATACCTACTCGAGTGTTTTTGAAAAAAAAGGAATTGTTCAAAGAGTTCACAATGTCCAAACTCTAAATGTGGAGAAGATGAGTCCATCAGCCATCTATTTTGGTCTTGTAAATATGCTAAGGAGGTATGGTTTTCTGTACGAGAATGGTTAACTGACTTATATAGATTCCCAAGTGAAATGGATGTTCTGTATGGAGAGCTGAACAATATAGATCCTGAGGAATGGATTAGATGGTGGACAGTTATCAATGCCATCAAAGAAGGGAAATATTTCTTGCTTTAAAAGATATGATATACCACCGGGAACAGTGATTACCTCAAGCCTCGTTTCAATCAGAGACTATGTGCTAAGAGATAGAAACTCTATATCTTTGATGGAAACACCTAAGAAATGGAAATGTTCAATTCCTTCCCCAATTTTTGAACATTTTGAATGATATGGGAAGAGAATTCTCTTTGTTTCCTACCCTTTTTGAGTGATGTTATAACTGTGTATTGAATTGAATGATAAATAAATGTAAAAAATAAAATATATATGTGACAGCATGATTCTTACAAAAAAAACATTTTATGCATCTGACTGTGACAGCAATCTATCTATAGTGCTTCTATGGTTTCCAAGTTATTGCTGATAAATGATATGTGGTAATAATGTCAGATGACATTACAAAGCTTTTTTATAATATCGGTTCTTAAAGAAGTTTCAAGTTTAGAACTCATAGACATGAAGAATCAGCATGTGAATCTCAGTAATGGTGACAAAATATTCTGATAATTTTTTATATGACTTTTGAACGTCACAAACCAAGGCAGTAAAAAGTCACAACAAAAATAAAAGCAAATTGGGTAGAATATAAGAAAATACTAAAACAATGCAGCTGCATAATTTATTCATGTTGCAAAGCATGCTGGGAGCCATGGATGAGTTATGATTGGTGCACCCAGAATGCAATGCAACATGAAGCTGTCTGATGAACGTCACCATTATTGAGATTTATATGCTGATACTTGATGTCTGCATGTCTGAACAGTATACTTGTGCCAAAATGATGTACATCATCAAAATTCAACCAATAAAAGCTGATCATGCCTGTAGTCTATAACAAATGTGTGTCATGAACACAATTACCACACACAGAAAACATTAATCTTGCGAAATCAGTGGTCAAGAATCCTGCTAAACACTTATCACCACAACGGTGACTACACGTTTTAATATTTTCAATAAATAAATTATTTTTGTTAAGAAAATTGTAGATGCATGACAAAAAAGTCAAACTGGTTAGTAATGTGTGATGCTGTATGTGGAGGTGATTAATCATCTTTTGCTGAGATCTTGAGAGATTTAATGTCTATTATTTCAGTTGATTTAATTTAAGGCTGTGTGTAAAGTCAGTTGTAGTTCTTGTGTTTCTCTTTTCTTCAGTGATTCTGCTTGTTAACAGCAGGTGTTCATCACTAATGCTCAATCAGCACTTAATTAATCACATAATTATCTCATTAACTTTAACACTGCTTCAGTGTTACTTTAACACTCTTTTAGAGTGGGACCATATATCGCCGAGAAGTGTTAATTTAACACTCGGGATTTTACTGTGTATGTGTGTGTTTAGCTACTGATTAAAATTTGTTAAAATGCAGAAATTGTTCCGGTTAGGTTACAGTATTTATAAAGAAAAGTATACAGGGTACATTTCTAAAACTATTTATATGCATATGTATGTATGTCCCTATTTTGATAGCTGTATTCTTTATTATATGTAAAGGATGTTTGCATGGTTTATCTCTGACTTTTTTGTCTCTGTTCCTTTGTCTGTCTGTACTTGTGCCTCGGATTTTATGTCCCTCAACCCATGTCTCTTTCTCACACTCCCTTTTTTCCATTCCAAGGCCTTTGGAGTTTGCTGAACCAGCAAGTCTAGGCAGAGGATGTGTGTGTAGACTTGGACTGGCATGTCAAGACAAGACACATGCGCTGAGGCTAAATATTTTGCATCGTTTCGGCGTCACAAATGCTGACACAAAAACATGTAATTCTGAGTAGTTCCAGCCCTCTATTCTTGATTGAAAAACATTTCATATTTTGAGGACAACTATCGAACACCCAGAGTAGTCTGCTGTATTTTGCCTGTATTTGCTAATATTGTCTGCAGCAGCTGCAACAACATTAGAAGTAACACAGGAACAACTGAAGAGGTAGGAAATATTTTATAGTATATGAAGTTTTAAAAAACTTGCAGGGAAGGTACAGGCAATAAAGTGAGAGAGGCAAGCAAGAGAGGAGAGGAAAAGATTAAAGACTGTTTTTGAATGAATTCAAATTCTGCCTTTGTTTCTGGGACAAAAAGACTGAGATAGAGATACTTAACATACGTCTATCTACAGCATTTTATACAATGTAGGAAGCAGACATTGTTTTGAGAGTGACTTGCCTTAGTAATATTTGATATTGCTTCATAGAACGGTCATGATGCGATTTTGTTCGACCTTCACATTTGTGGAAGGCTGTTTGATATCTTTTTTTAGAACGTAAGTTGTTCCATGTTCCCACTCTGCTAGATTTAAATGACCAATAAAAAAGCTAATTCAGCTGCTTGAGGGGGTATAATCTTAATACATTCGCACACATATGCACAATGCTCAGTTTTTAGTCATTTTGACTGTTTTTGGATCTCTGCTTAAAACACTTAATAATTGATTTTGTTCTGTTTCATTTCTTGGCAATATCACATGATGATGCCTTGGAACAAAAATATATATTGTTTTATTTTTTTTATGTGTAAGAATGGTATACTCATTCAGTGGTCCAGTACCCTAATTCCCTGTTACATAAGGCCTAGATTTAGATGCAAATTTAAAGAATAAGTTAAGGGTTTAATTAGTCTTAAAGTGTTAAGTTTTGATCCAATTTATAAAGCCAGTATGAATACACTAAAGTGACATTTCTTTCATGAAATGCAACACTGGTAAATGCAAAGATATTTGCATTGCATAGCTTTTCAGTCTAATAAAATTAAAGTTCCACAAAGGTGCCATTATCTTCACATGATAGGCTGATAAGTAACTCAATCCACAATAGGAATAAACCTTTTTAATCTGTTGATATAGATTTAAAATGTCTAGAGAATTGCATGACGGTGGCTAATCTGAGCAGCTGGCTGGAGATGAAATTCTACTGCAATGGCATGGTAATGGACACAGCAATGTTAAAGTACAGAGACTTGCCAAAACATCCAAAGACATGCTGCTGTGAACATGTAAGACATGTTGCTGCTGCACATATAACATTAATTAGCCCCCAACAAAGAATGAAACATGAGAAACGAACAATTCAAGCCAAAATATTCATGCTGCTGAGTGTAGGAAAACAAGCTGCTGTACTGGTAGACATGCATATATCTGCACAGATAGGATGAACATAAACAGCTATATATGGTGAACCCCGGTTGATGGTGAATGCAAGTGCGAATGCTTATTTCACTTTAACCTGTTCTCATATCTGTATCTTAGTCGACATATCCTCATAGCAATTACATACAGACGGCTTGCTGCTGCATAAACACAATTGCATTTATGCTTAGTAATTCACTCCCGCATCAAATTCAAGACTGTTAAACATCACGCTTAGTTAAAAACATATTATTATTTGCTCATTTAGAAAATAATAAGCAGACCATGCAATATGCACAGTGATATGGAATGACAGAGCGTTCACTTATCTTAGATGTTGATTTCAGATGCTTTCTGAAAGCACGCTGCAACTACTACAGCAAACACTGGCCAAGTATTTCACTGTTGAGCAGCAAGCTCATTGGAAGTTGATGCAAAAGAATCGAGAAGGGTATAACTGCAGCCTGGAGATCTCCAAATGGGGGCGGGAACTCCAAAACGGGG